TCACATGAGAAGAGAGAGAAGGACCTAAGATGGGGCCATGGTGAACTCCATATTAATGATTAAATAAAGGAGGAGGAACATGAAAAACAGAAAGAACAGCTGAAGGGTAGAAAACCAGGGGAGGGTGGTGTTAAGGAAGCCAAGAGAGGAGATGCTTCAAGGAAGGCCAAACACCAGCTGTGGAACAGGATAGGATAAGGACAGAAAAGTGACCTTTAGGTTTTGTAACACAGAGTTCCATAGGCATCTGCTTAGATAAAAGGAATTTCAGTCTACTGACAGAACTGAAAATCATGCTGAAGTGGGTTAATGAGGAACTGGAAAAACAACATAAACAGACCTATAATAATTAAATCAGAAGTTAAAAAGCTGCACTTCTTCCCTCAACAAATAAAAAATACTAGGGTTTTGCTAAGTTTTTTTTGGTTTTTGCTAAGTTCTAGCAGACCTTCACTATATAGATAATTTTTACCTTACACAAACTATAAACTGTTCCAGAGAATACAAAAGAAGGGAAAGATCTCCATTTATCTTATAAGGCTATTAAAACCTTGTTACCAAAATCAGACAAGGATTATTATATGAGAAAGAAAAATACAAGGCTAGCCTCATCTCAGTTCACAGAGGTAGATAATCTACAAATTAGCAAATTGAATCTAATAATATAAGAAAAAATAATTACACATCATGACCAAGTAGAGCACATGCCAGGAGGCAAAGATGATTTAACATCCGAAAATGTATTAATACTTATTAACATATTAATATAGTAAGGGAGAACAAATATAGTGTTATCTCAATAGATTCAGAATAAGCATCTGATAAAATTCAAAATATACACTCAGTGTATGTGTGTACACATACATACACACATGCACACACAGAGGAATATTATTCAGTCATAAAAAAGAATGAAAGCTTGCCATTTGCAATGATGTGGATAGAGCTAGAGAGTATAATGGTAAGTGAAATAAGTCAGAGAAAGGTAAATATCATATGATCTCACTCATATGTGGAATTAAAGAAACAAAACAAATGAACAAAGGAAAAAAGAGAGAGAGAGAGAGAAACCAAGAAACAAACTCTTAACTATAGAGTACAAACAGATGGTTACCAGAGGGGAGGTGGGTCAGGGGATGGGTGAAACAGATGATTGGTATTAAGAGTACACTTACCCTTAAAAAAAAAAAAAAAGTACACTTATCCTGATGAGCACTGAGTAATGTACAGAATTGTTGAGTCACTATATTATACACCTGAAACTAATATAACACTATATATTAACTATACTGGAATTAAAATTAAAAACTTAATTTAAAAAATGGAAAAAAGGGGCGCCTGGGTGGCTCAGTTGTTGAGCGTCTGCCTTTGGCTCGGGTCATGATCCTAGGATCCTGGGATCGGGCCCCGCATCGGGCTCCCTGCTCTGCGGCGGGGCCTGCTTCTCCCTCTCCCACTCTCCCTGCTTGTGTTCCCTCTCTCACTGTGTCTCTGTCAAAAAAAAAACAAAGGAAAAAACCCCCAAATACACACATTCATGATTAAAAAACAGTGAGCTGGGAATAGAGAGAAATTTCCTTTTGCTAATAAAGGATATCTATCCAAACCTGCAATAAATATAATATTTAATGGTGAAAAGTTAGAAGCATTCTTTTTTTTTTTTTTTAAGATTTTATTTATTTATTTGAGATAGCAAGAGAGAGCATGGGCAGGGTGGGGATGGAGAAGCAGGCTGAGCAGTGGCAGGGAGCGTGATACGGGACTCGATCCCAGGACCCTGGGATCATACCCGAGCTGAAGGCAGACGCTTAACCAACTGAGCCACTCTAGTGTCCCTAGAAGCATTCTCTTTAAAGTCAGGAATAAGACAAAGCTATTCACTACTGCTGCTCCTCTTCCATAATAAAATATGAGAAGAAAAAGTAATAAAAGTAAAAATAGAAAGGAAGAAAAAATGCCATCATTCACTAAAATAGTATGATTGTATACACAGAAAATCTAAGAGACTCCAAGACAAACTACTGTAATTAATGTTAGCAAGGTTGCTATATATACTCTCAAAATACAAAAATCAGTGGTACTCCTGTATACTAGCCACAAAAAAGTTGGATGCTATAATAAAAAATTTGTAACAGCCACCAAAATGGCAACCTACCTGGGACTAACTAATAAAAGATGTGTTAAGACCCTTTATGAAGAAAATCTTAAAACTTCATTGAGATATGTTTAAAAAACAGAAAGAAAACATATAAAGAGATACCAAGGGGGCGCCTGGGTGGCTCAGTCAGTTAAGTGCTTGCCTTCATCTCATCATAATCCCAGGGTCCTGGAATCGAGCTCCACATCGGGCTCCTTGCTCAGCGGGGAGTCTACTTCTCTCTCTTCCTCTGCCCCTCCCCTGGCTCATTCTTTCTCTCTCTCTCTCTTTCCTCTCTCAAATACATACATACATACATACATAAATAAAATCTTAAAAAAAAGATACCAAGTTCATAGTAAGGAAGACTTGATATTATAAAACTGTCAAATCATACAAATACAATTCGTAAGTCAAGGAAAGCCAAAAGAGTTTCGAAGAACTGTAAGTAGGAGCCTCACCCTATCAGATACCAAGAAAATTGGGGGTATCTTCCTTTTCCCCTGCTATGAAGGAACAGGATTTAGGAGTAGCACTCCTGGCTTCTCTCCATCCTCTCCTTCTCTTTGTAAGGAGGGACTTTTCTGATGGGTGAATTTAGGGGGAAAAATAAAACCTGGGTATTCCTGGCTTAGCCCCATCTGGTTTCCTGCAGGAGTCTCTGACTGCTCTCCACAGTGTAGTCAAGGGCCTGCCTCTGTGGGAAAAGCCTGGGATTCTCTAGTTCACAATGCAACCATGAAGGGAAGTTTTATTTTGAGTGACATCTTTGCAAGCCCTTTTTATTACAGACCTTAAGCCACATTTTCCAAGAGGCTTTATCAGTAATGAAACTGCCATTTTGACTTCTATTAGTCTGTCTCTCGTATCTCCTCTCTCCAATGGTTCCAAATTTAGGGGGAGAAGGGATGCTATTTATTGGGCATCCTCAAACCTCAACATGACTTACAGAAATTACATCTTATAATAGTTTAAAAATGTGGTATTAGCCCATAGATAGACAAATCAAACAAACGAGCAGAATTGGGAGCCTGGAAACAGATTCATGTATATAAGTAAACTTGGTACGTGAAAGAGATGGCATTACCAAATACTGGACAAAAGACAGACTCTTCAATAAATAATACTGGGACCATTTGCTGTTTGTACTGAGCAAGATTCGTTTAGTGATTAATCAAGTGGTATTATGGGTTGCCTCTTTTTTAAAAAAATATTTTAGGTTATTTATCATTTGCATTATAAAACCTTTCATGAATTATATGTCTTATTTCCAACTAGATCACAATCCTTTGAGGCTAGGGCTGGAAACTTATACTTCTTGTTAACCCTCCAGAGTGCCTATCACAGTACTTTACACAGAGACAACACTAAGTAAATGTCTGCTAGCTCATTATTATTTTACATTAAAACTGAATTCCTATCCCTCATGCCTCAAGGCATACAGGTCCATATCAGTAATAAGCTTTTGTAGTTATTTTGATATTCTGAGTAAAATTCTTTAAACAATTGTGCATTCACTTAACAGGAGTCCTATCTAAAATCAGACAACCAGAACTTGCATTTTGAGGATCACATAGGACAAAAATAAAAAATGTCCAAGTAAAGGTCAAAGATGTCACTTTCTCAATATTCTCAAGGCCTATCCTTATGGCACAGAAAAAAATGAAACCGATCTTGTACCTTCCTCCCCACAAATAGTTTTTCTGTCTAACCTCTTATTTCATCCTCACCACAAACTGGTGAGATGAGCAGGGCAGGGATTATAGATGAGGAAATTCAGTTTCTGAGAGGTTACACTTTAGGTTCACCAAGTGGCTTAGAGAAAGATGTGGGACGAGGAGCCAGTGGTCTTTAGAAGAAAATATGCTGCTCCCAGCTGTCTAGCTCATAAGGTCCGATTTCCATTTACATGATTTTGTAAGTTACTGCCCATCACCCAAGAATTCAAACTTCAAGAATTCCTAAATGGCTAGAGCCAACAGCTTTCTACTTATTTGAGTCAGGTGAACCAACTGAATGTCTTTGCAACAGACCTTCCCTTGCTCTTTCTCTTTTTCAAAGAGTCAGTCTATCCTGACAAAGCATTTTATTTATTTATTTATTTTTTAAAACTTCTTTTTTTTTTTTTAAGATTTTATTTATTTATTTGAGAGAGAGAGAATGAGAGAGAGCAAGCACATGAGAGGGGGGAGGGTCAGAGGGAGAAGCAGACTCCCTGCCGAGCAGGGAGCCCGATGTGGGACTCGATCCAGGGACTCCAGGATCATGACCTGAGCCGAAGGCAGTCGCTTAACCAACTGAGCCACCCAGGCACCCCCTGACAAAGCATTTTAAAGCAGCAATTTGCCCTCATGGTGCAACAGGCACTGACATCAAACATAAGAAACATTCTAGCATGTGTCTCCTGGTCTCAGACGAGGTCCTGCCAAGCTGGCCTATTCGTTGTCTGCTTTCTTCCCTTAACTCTCATGGCCACTGATCCTGATGTTATTTCTGTAGTTATGTCCTTCACTTGTTCTTTGAAGAAGTCCTAGTGGCTCCATGTCTCCCTTTTATGAATCCCACTGGCTGTCCCCCAGTCTCTGCCTCAGCAGTGAACTCAAGGATTCCTCGCCCAGCCAACCTCCCGGTGTTCAAACAATACCCCCTCAAACCCACTCTCCTCCTGACAGTGCTTCACCCTGCTCAGCAGGACTGGGGCTTAGACCCACACATGTACAATGGCTGCCCTTCCCTTTCTTCAAGTATCTTAATAAAGAAGGAAACATAGAAAGCAGGTGAGGAGCAACATGGAAACCAGGAAAGTTTCCCAGGATTATTATCCACATCCCAGTTTCTGGGTGTCAGAGATAAAGGTACTCACCACCTGACCATTAGTCCATGTTCCATGAAGTTTTTCAGGTTAGGGAGGGTTTGCCTCAAGTCTGGAGTCCCTAGTCCATGTTGATATCTTAGCTGCAAAGGTAGAAAAATAGAATTAAAAGAAATTCTGGCAGATACTAGGCAATGTTTCCCAAACATGGTCCATTCACTAAATTTTTCTTTCTTCTTTTGAACTCTAAAAGAGGAAATGTAAATATATGATTCCAATATCACGGACCACACTTTTGGGACAGTATTTAAAGGTAGCCTCTTGGGGTGCTTGGGTGGCTCAGTTGGTTAAGTATCTGCCTTTGGCTCAGGTCATGATCTCAGGGTCCTGGGATTGAGCCCAGAGTCAGGCTCCCTGCTCAGCGGGGAGTCTACTTCTCCTCTCCAACCTCTCCCCGCCTCGCCCCGCCAGCTCTTGTGTGTGTGCTCCCTCTCAAATAAATAAAATCTTAAAAAAAAATAAAGGTAGTCTCTTTGTCTCCTGCTCCCCTGTCTCCTAAAGCTGGAGAAGACAATGAATGACCAACTATGGAATCAGCATATTTCAAAGAGCCCCGTAGGGTTTGCTAACATCAACTCCAGGGACATATACAGTAAAACCAATATTTTGTTTTATTTTATTTATTTTTTTAAAAAGATTTTGTTTATTTATTTGAGCGAGAGAGAGAGATAGTAAGAGAGCATGAGCAGGGGGGAGAGGGAGAAGCAGGCTCCCCACGAAGCAGGGAGCCTGACGCAGGGCTCAATCCCAGGACTCTGGGATCATAACCTGAGCCAAAGGCAGATGCTTAACTGACTGAGCCACCCAGGAGCCCCTCAGTATTTTGTTTTAGATACCGAATGGCTGGCATTACACACTCTGGGCACATTCAGCCCATCTTTCACTGACCCTTTCCCTTTGTATAACAACCAAGGTTAAGGGTCATGTTGTGTTCATCTCTAATCCCCAACAGTGTCTGACAGTGCTAGCACTCAGTTAATGCTTATTAAACAAACAAACAGCAAGCCACTTTTGAGGACGCTGTGCTCTGTTTTTTTCTTGGATTCCTAACTTTCCCTTTTGTCCAGAACCAGTACATAAAGTTGTAGAGCTGGTATGAGAACACTATGACCTGTGGATGGATCTGGTCTTAGTTCTACTTATTTCTGCTAGAGCTGATTTTCTAACCTTAGGTCCTTCTATGGACCTTGAGTAACTCACTAAATGGTTTTCATCTGTCTGTTTCTTGCCTTCTCTCACTCTGTCTCTGAATACCATTTGCTTCCTTAACTGGTCATGACAGAGATCCGAGGTAAATATATGTGCATATTCATACACATGCTCTCTCTCTTACACACAGAACATCAAATACACAGTAGAGGTACAGCAGAAATGTATTTTTCAAATGACATATATGAAAAAAGTACTCTGTAAACTGTGTACTGGTGTACAAACATGAAGGATAATCACTCGTGAAGTTTTACTTTTCCAGCACCTAAATTTAAAAGTGACAAAGTCAAACTTCTAAATATTTTCCTCTCTCAAAAAATAAAACCACTGTGAACAAAAAATATCAAAGTTTTCTTTTGTTTGTATCTAGTACTCAACTGATTTTTTTTTTTTACTTAAGTGTGAGTGACACTTAACAGAGAAAGAGTTTACTCTTTTTTTTTTAAATTAACATATAATGTATTATTTGTTTCAGGGGTACAGGTCTGTGATTCATCAGTCTTACACAATTCACAGCGCTCACCATAGCACATACCCTCCCCAATGTCCATCACCCAGCCACCCCATCCCTCCCACCCCCCTCCACTCCAGCAACCCTCAGTTTGTTTCCTGAGATTAAGAGTCGAAAGAGTTTACTCTTATTACCCTGAACTTTTAAAGGAAAACCCCCAAACCTAATCAGATCTCTTCAATGGTCTGAATACACACATAAAGTAAGAAGTAGGAAACACAGAATTTTAAAGCTAAAATGTATTTTGAATATTATTTAAGCTAATTCTTTCCTTTTGCAGGTGGGGAAACTGAAGCCCAGAAAGGGGAAATAAATTCTCCAGGGCCGCATGTTTCAATAACAAAGATATTATGAGCTAGAGCCTCATTCTCACAACCATGCTATTCCACCATCTACCCCAAAGTCTGAGAGGAAAACTGGTTGAAATACTTGAGAAGACAAAGGGAAAATATTCTTTTCCCTTTCCAAAGCTAGCTTGGTGACCTAAATCACCTCCTGAGATTTGCTGACCTTGAATTATAAGATCTACTCCATATTAAATGACATCATTTCTTATATTAATATAAAAGCATTTTTTCCATATATTGATAAAAGTAAAATGGCTGATATCCCAATGTGACATTCCTGAATTCATTGTTTCAATAAAAAAGTGAAATTGTTTACACATGGCATGGACATTTCACCTGTGATTCATACCGAAAAATATTAAATATATATAAAAAAAACCCCTAACCCATACTGAAATAACACTAAGCTATGTGTCCCTGAGCCAGTACATAGTCAATTGCCTGCCCCAGGCTCCACAGTGGAAGGTAGGTGTTGAATTCTTTTCAGAGACCACAATGAAAAATTTTCTTCAAGTCTGATTTCAACCAAAAAAGGAAAATATGGGAATTTCAAGCCTCTACCCAGATCTTAACTCTTCATTTGCTATATAGCATTATCATTTTTATCATAGAATCATAGGATATTATAGCTTAAAGAGATCCTGGAGATCATTTTTCCAACCTCCTTCCTTTCATAAATGAAGAAACGAAGGCTCAGTAAGGCAAGTGTCCTGTCCAACGTCACAGAGCTGACAAGGGACAAAGCCAAGGCTGGAATATTTTTTAATTTTTATTTATTTTTTAAATACAAGTCTAATTAACATAGATTCAACATTCATCATGTATAATGATTCAACAATTCTGCACATTACTCAGTGTTCATCACAATAAGTGTACTCTTAGTCCCCGTCGCCTGTTTTACCCATTTTCCCTCCCACCTCCCCTCCGGGAACCATTGGTTTGTTCTCTGTATCTCGGAATCTGTTTTTGGTCTCTTTTTCTTTATTTGTTTTGTTTCTTAAATTCCACATATGAGTGAAGTCATATGGTATCTGTCTTTCTCTTACTGACTTATTTCACTTAGCATTATATCCTCTAGGTCTATGCATGTTGTTGCAAATGACAAGATTTCATTCCTTTTTATGGCTGGGTAATATCCCATTGTGTGTGTGTGTGTGTGTGTGTGTATCACACCTTCTTATATTCCACTGCATGTATATATACATGCAATATTTATATATATCACATCTTCTTTATCCATTCATCTATGGATGGACACTTGAGCTGCTTTCATATCTTGGCTATTGTAAATAATGCTTCAATACACAAATAAACATGGGGTGCATATATCCTTTCAAGTTACTATTTTTGTTTTCTTTGGAATAAATACCCAGGAGTGGAATTACTGGATAATATGGTATTTCTATTTTTAATTTTTTGAGGAACCTCCATACTGTTTTCCATAGTGGTTGCACCAGTTTACATTCTCACCAACAGTGCATAAGGGTCCTTTTTCTCCACATCCTCACCAACACCGGTTGTTTCTAGTGTTTTTGATTTTATAAGGCTAGAATTTCTTTTCTTTTTTTTGAATTTTTGAATTTTGAATTTTTGAAATTTTTTGAATTTTTTAGAATTTCTTTTTTTTCTTTTTTTAAGATTTTATTTATTTATTTGACACAGAGAGAGATAGTGAGAGAGGGAACACAAGCAGGGGGAGGTGCAGAGGGAGAAGCAGGCTTCCAGCTGAGCAGGAGACCAATGCTGGGCTTGATCTCAGAATTTTTTAGAATTTCTTAAAAACAACTCCAAATTCTTTCTACCATGTCACCCTTTTGATTTTTAACATATAAAACCAAAAAAAATTCACACATAATACATATATATTACATTTTAAAAATAAAGTACACGTACTATTTAATAAGCCTAAATTGCTATAGGCTTATAATGAAAAAGCAAATTCTTTGCTCTTCAGTAGCAACTACTTTTAGCTGTTTCTTCTTTACCTTCATATTTCTAAGTAATATGATTGTATTAATTTTCCCCTATTCTTTCATATGCTTCCCAGTTTTAGATATCTATTGTGTTCCTATTACAAAAAAATGAAAATTCAGCTTTTATATTACTCTTCTCTTACACATTTTATCCCCTCACTCATATATCATCTACTGACTTTTTGTTAAAGAATATGAGGATTTAACTACCCTCCCAGATAAACTTCTCTTTATCCTCAAGATATTCAATATCACATTTTTGCTAGATCAGTATTTAGCGCTTACCTTATTATACCTGCAGAAATACTGTGCACTGCCAAGCCATGTAATATACTATTCCTTTTTTGAACTTTTTTTTTTAGGTTTATTTATTTGAGAGAGAGACAGCGGGGGCGGGGAGGAGGGGCAGAGGGAGAGACAGAATCTTAAGCAGGCTCCATGCTCAGTGCAGAGCCCAACTTGGGGCTCAATCTCACCACCCTGAGATCACCAAATGAGTTGAAACCAAGAGTTGGAGGCTCAACTGACTGTGCCACCCAGCCACCCCTGTACTTTTTTGTTTGTTTTTCCTGAAGTGATAATTGTCATTTTTTCTACTCGTTAAGTACCTATCTTGACGATAGTATTACTTGTGTACTTACGTACTTATCACTAGATCCTTCCCAAACCAGGACAAAACCTTAAAATCCTTCTCATTCTGATTAAATACACTATATAACCTACCACGTCCACTTCCCCCTTGGAAGCAACCCTCTCTGCTCCATCCCAGAACTTTCCTTCTCCGTCACCCTGGAAATCACTTACTTCTCTTCTGTATCAAAGCTGTTGTTTCTTAGATCTCATGACTTTCTGGATTTACTGCCTCACCTTGGTGGCACATATCCTATAACAGCTTTCTGGGAAAGGAGAGCATGGGATGTATCTTTTTTGGGACCTTGAATTATTTAAATATAGCTTTATTCTGTTCTCGGACTTGAATGATAGTTTGCCTGGGTAAAGAATTCAAGGCTAAAATAATTCCCTTTTGGAATTTCTAAAATATT